TATATATATATATATTGTGCCTATATATATATATAGGCACAACTTGAAGACAGCGTCTAAATAGTGAGCCTGTCACTGCAGAATCTCCCCATCTTTTAACTCTAAAACGTTAATTTTAAGCTTGGTCACTGAGCTCCTGTGTAACTCCAGGTACCTGCAATTTAGCCAAAGGTTTTCCTGGTTCCCAACCAGAAGTTACTGATGGTCCCAGATTCCCTCCCAAACGTGTAGCTGCTGTAGAAAGCAAAATACGCCACAGTCTGTAGTGAAAGCACCGTGGTCCAGAAAACACCGTAACCACAGCAGCAGTCTGATTGTGCCTGGTACAGCCTCCCGATGGGAAGTTAAGCTGTACCTGCTCATTAGGATACCTTCCACTGACAACTCTATTTATCCAGTTTACTTGCTAATAGGAACCTTCTTTGAGTCGATATTTGCTAGTGGATGTGGACACAAGAGCAAAGCAAAATGTGTTTCTGTAGTTATTTATTTAACAAGCTTATGGAAATTTTGGGTAGCATGGCTTGTGTGTTTTGTTTATCTGAAAGGGTGAATGTAAATTTGGATTGTTCTTATATTTGCATAATGTGGGGATGAGGTAATCCTCACTGCAGAAGAGGGGCCCTACTGCCTTGCAGGTTGTACTGCTTGGGAAGGAGTTCATGCTAAAACAAAAAGACTAATCCGGAAGCAGCTGGTAGAATTCTACAATCCTAACCAAGCAGTGAAGTTTTGCAGATACCTTGAACATTTGTAGCAGAATATATGGAATAATTCATGATAACACCACTTGGTCTTTTTAAAGTACCTTTCAGCCAGTGTTTACTGACGAATTATTCGTGGTGCTGCTGTGAGTTTGGTTTCAATCTCATAGTCACCCTAAAGTGTCCTGGCTACATTCCCTCTGCTTCCGTATCCTTTTCTCGTATCAATCCTAGCACTCCTGCAAGTGTTAAAACAGCAAGGAACTGATCCAGGGGAAAAATAATGTGAAAAAAATCATTTTTTAAAAAAATGTGATTAGTTTCTTGACCTGACTTTGTTAGGACTGGAGACAGAGAAGATCTTGTTTGTTTTCCCATCTGTTCCTGCTCCATCATGTCCCATCAGGGATCATGGACTAGTTCTCTTAATTCAGTCTACACCTAAAGGCTTTTGGATGCGTATGCGTAAGCAGATATGTTTGCTGCATATCCAGACATGGATTAGCAAGAAGTAGGTACAGTTTGGTACCCTCTTAGGAATGAGGATGCTCTTGTGTCTGTCTTTGTGGAGACACAGGGCTAGAGACAGTCGTAATCCTAGAACTGGCATGATAAGCAGCTGAAATGGGGTCAGAGATGGACCTGGTCACCTGGATTAGACTAGACTGGACTACACGTGGTGTGGGGGAGTCACAGCCCAAAGGAACTGGAGAGAATGGGGCAGCCTTGTGTAAGCACTTGCTCAAATGTCACCAACTTTGCATTGTATCCGATGCAGTTTGTATGGAATGTTTTTGATGGTTCCACAGTATTACTCTGCTTTAAGTGGTGAAGCTGTCAAACAGTGACTTCAGATCAGCAGGGTACAGCATAATTCCCTGCAACATGAGGAAAAGATGCTTTTTTGATAGTCTTCATAGTCTTGATCTACTAGAAAGGCTTAGTGGGAAACAATATATGTTTTTGAAAAATTCATCTTTAAGTGCGTGCTGCATGGTGGCAAATATTTGGGCACATGTTAGATCTTTCTTAGGTCTGGCAAAAAAATAAATGAAATTGTAGTGAGTCTTTTTTTACTTAATAGGGACAGCACAAAGACTTTCAGACCAGGGTTATTTATGGAATAGCCTATTATAGCCTGGTTGAAAAAAACCCAAAACTCTAATTGCTAAAATCTTCTATTTAAATGAAGCAAAACATATTAAATTCCTGACTATATTATGTATTTTCTAAATTATTGCTTAAAATACAGTCTTTGTAAGAGTGTTGCAAAGTCAAGCACTTAGGAGGCAGGGAATGTCCGAGTGAAGGCACCAGGAACCCACGTTTCGCACCCGTTTCTCCTTTTCTATCCCTGTCACCCGAACTCCTTTCCCTTGTGTGTTTGAAATCGGCAGCTTCCTTCTGCTCACTGTCCCAGCCCTTTAGGTTCCCAGCACCAGGGTGTTTTTTTCAGCGAAGAGGAAGAGCAGGGAGGAAGGTATCGTGAAGTGCTGAGATCCTGCGGAGCAGTCAGCTGATGAAGGCTCACGGGCTGCACGTGCACGAGCACAAATGACAACTTCTGGACATGTCTCATTCATCAGGAGGGGTAGATTTTAGTGGTGTGAGGAATTTCAAATATTGCTTCCAAAGAGTGGAGAAAGCTGGGAAAGCTAATTTTCAACAAACTCCATGGGATTGGCTTGAAAAGCTGTAACTGCATTTAGGCTGGAAATCCTCTAAGGACCACAATGTGTACAAAACTGAGGAAATGCAACTGCTTTAGTTGTCTTTTATTTGGTAGCTTTTGTCTAGTTCTCTTATATAGTAACTAGGTTGTAAAATTATAGTTCATCCTCACTCTGGAGGACGAACTCCACACATATTTTATTCATATTTATTAGACTTATTGTTCCTTTTTTAAGCTATTTTTATAGGTTTTAAGCATGTATTTTATACATGTTGTGTTAAAATTGAATTGCTGCACTGTAAATGTATTTTTAATGTTGTAACAGGAAAAGCATTCTAACTTTTTTTTAAATGAGACATCATATGTATAATCAGCTTGGTTAAAACTTCCTTCCTGGTAAGTGCAGCACTTCCTTTGCATCTGGATATGAGGGTGAGCAAGAAAAGCAGAACAGCTTGAACAAAGAATTTTTTTGTGCGAATAATCTTCCCTTAAAAGAAGAGAAACTTCAAAACTTAAACAAATGAGTCGTCTTCAGCAAGTCAGCCTTTATTTTACAAGCAGGTAATATTTCATTGTGTTTTAGCAACAGTAAAGGTGGCGTCTATGGTTGTTTGCTTTCCGGAGCTCAAAAAAAAAGAACTGTAGTTTCAGTTTAAGATTGTGTATTTTTATGCTCGTGTTTTGTTGTCTGCTAGAGCATTGTTCCCGGGGTGTGTTTTAGGTTTTCAAGCAGTCAGAGACATTGTCTGAAGAAAGCAGTTGCTCAGTATGTCGCTGTAATGTGGTGTTAGTGCAGGAGAGCGCAGCGTGCGCGCGTCCCGTCCGCGCCACTTTCCTCTTTCAAACTCTTGCTGGAAACTTCCACTTTAGTACTGCTCAGTGGCGATGAAGTGAGAGCAACAATATTTTTGTTTTTTGAAAGCTGGTAAGGTAGAGAATTTGCTTTCAAAGTTGTTTTACAAGCTGGTTTAGGTGGGACTTGATGTATAGAGTGATCATGTCATCAGCTTATGAGGCTTTTTTTCCTTCTTTAACATACTATTTTTTTAAGTGCTTACTTTAAAATTGTGGGATGTTACCAATCTGGTGAACTGACTTTTTATTAAAAGAAGCACATCTAAGGATACAGACTGGAATTCAGAAGTATATTAAATATTCTTCTTGGGAGATAGTGACTGACTTTTTAATATTAAGTGATTTTGGACGATGTAAATTCTGGTTCTATATCACTAAAGAGAAGGACAAAGGAAAATGGCAATAATTTCACCTCTCTCCAGTCTATAGAGAAATTTCTTGATTTGTTTTCTTTCTGTGTTCCTTAAAGCTTGGTAGGATATTGTTTTGCTCATATACAGTAATGTGTCTCTTGATTTCTATGAAAATCCACTTATGATAATATCAACAGCACCAAAACAGAAGAGCCAGGAGAAGAATCAGTGTTCAGTTAAATACAAACGAGAGCAAATCAGTACAGCAGCTACATGGTCCTCATAGCTTCCATTGAGTCTGGGAAGAAGGGCCACTTAGGCTCATAAATTATAAATCACTGTTTAAAAGCTCTGTTTTAATCGCTTAAGCATTGCTTCTCGTTTTATTAGGTTTCAAATTGAATAGATTAGATCTGAGATGGTTAATGTAAAACAACTGTTTATAAGCAATAATTAAGGAGAATGGGAAGCACAAAAAGTATGTAACAGGGTTCTGACTGGCCTCTGATTTGAACTGAGAGCTTTTAAAAAAAGAGCAAAGAGAAATGTAAATGAGAAGGTAATCAAACATTTGTATGTTTTGCTAGATTTCTTCTGGCATGGAGTTGGGGGATTATGAGCAACCCGTTGTTATGAGAGAGGAGAACAAACGAAGGAGAAGAAGAATGAAACCTCATTGTACATCGGGTAATTTGTCTTCAATGGAACTGATATCTATTGAATTCATTTTACCTACAAGCAATAAACATACTAAAGTACCAGAAATGATGTTACTTGAAATAGCTGGCAACTGTACAGTTGAGCAAATGAAAGCACAGATTTGGATGCGTGCAATAGAGATGAGCCAAACCACTGACTTCTACCATGTGTTCAGTCCTGATCAGTTTATTCTCCAGTATCAGAAGAAAGGGCAGTGGTATGAAATTTATGATAAACATCAAGTATTACAGACATTAGACTGTATACTGTATTGGAAAGTGTTACAGAAAAAGGTAGGCAAGATCTACGTTGTCCAGAAACAAAAACCATCAGAAGAAGTTCAGGAATTTCAGCGACAGCTTAATGATTTAATTGGTTACGATGTCACCGATGTGAGCAATGTGCATGACGATGAACTAGAGTTTACCCGTCGCAGGTTAGTCACTCCACGAATGATAGAGGTGGCCTGTAGAGATCCTAAGTTGTATGCAATGCACCCCTGGACTACATCTAAGCCACTCCCAGAATATTTATTCAAAAAGATCACCAATAATAACATTTTCATAATCATACATAGAGGAACAACCAGCCAAAAAATTAAGGTGTCAATTGATGACACTCCAGATATGATTCTCCATAGTTTTTTCACAAAAATGGCGAAGAAAAAGTCGTTGATGGATATTCCTGAAGATCACAGTGAGCTGGACTTTGTTCTCAGAATTTGTGGCAGAGATGAGTACATTACTGGAGAGACCCCAATTAAAGATTTCCACTGGATTAGACAGTGCCTTAAGAACAGCGAGGAGATCCACCTTGTGCTAGACAACCCGCCTGACCCCCGTGAGGATGAGGTTCAGAAGGAAGAGTGGCCGTTGGTGGATGACTGCACGGGAGTTACAGGGTACCACGAACAGTTGACCATAGATGGGAAAGATCATGAAAGAGTCTTCACTATCTCTTTGTGGGATTGTAACAGGAAATTTAGGGTGAAAATAGTTGGCATTGATATCCCAGTTTTGCCAAGAAATACTGATCTCACTGTGTTTGTTGAGGCTAACATTCAACACGGGCAACAGCTCCTTTCACAGAGGAGGACTTCATCCAAACCCTTTACTGAGGAGGTTCTGTGGAATATTTGGCTGGAGTTTGATATCAGAATCAAGGATTTGCCTAAAGGAGCACTCCTTAATCTTCAGATATACTGTGGCAAAGCACAGGGACTGTCCACAAAGACACACGAATCCCCCAACTCCGATTCAAAATGCAAAACCCAGCTTCTCTATTATGTAAATCTTTTGTTGATAGATCACCGTTTTTTGCTCCGAAGTGGGGAGTACGTGCTTCACATGTGGAAAATCCCAGGCAAAGGGGAAGAACAAGGAAGTATCAATGCAGACAAACTCACGTCAGCTACTAATCCAGATAAAGAAAACTCAATGGCTATTTCCATCGTACTGGACAAATATTGTCACCCAATTGCCTTGCCCAAGCACAGGATAACATCTGACCTGCCAGGAGACAGGACACGGGCTGAAATGCCCAACCAGCTTCGCAAGCAACTTGAAGAGATCATAGCAACAGATCCACTTAATCCACTTTCTCCAGAGGACAAAGAACTGTTGTGGCATTTTAGATATGAAAGCATAAAGCACCCCAAGGCATATCCTAAGCTTCTTAGCTCAGTGAAATGGGGACAACAAGAAATAGTGGCCAAAACATACCAGTTGCTAGCTAAAAAGGAGGTGTGGGATCAAAGTGCTTTGGATGTTGGACTCACGATGCAGCTTCTGGACTGTAACTTTTCCGACGAAAATGTGCGAGCAATGGCAGTTCAGAAGCTGGAGAGCTTAGAAGATGATGATGTTCTTCACTACCTCTTGCAGCTTGTGCAGGTAAGGTATATTTGCATTCCTGAACTCCAGGCTTCCGGGAATATTTGCATTATCACATAACCATTCCTGTGGTAGTAAATGACCCCATTTTTGAGATCTTCAGTACTTAGTCAAAGCAGCATTCGTTACCAAATTAACCTGAAACACACTTTGCATTTGCCTTTATTTCTGTGCTCGCATCTTTGTGTGGCAGTTGCCTCGTCTTGCAGTTTGCATCTCGTGCCCACAGTAGTATGTTTTTCTGGAAATGGGCAATGTTAGCACAGCTGTGGTGGGAACACACCCGAGCAGTGAGTCTGTCCTTCTGCATCACGTAGCATCGAAGAGCTGTTGCCTGGCCTTGACCCATGGGTTTTACTCAGTCTGGAAGCACAGCAGAAGGAAAGGAAAAGCAGATGATAATGGAGGCGAGGCTTGAAGTTGGAGTTCAGGTTATTTAGATTTGGATATGGAGTTGGGTTTTAGACTAAAAATAACCATTTAGTTGCATACTACATGGCAGTGTCTTCAATATTGTACTTGTAAGGGAAACACACTTATCTAGAAACTTCTAAAAACCTTTAAAAAGAAAATAAAGGGTTGTTATGACTCTCTGTTTAATTCATTCTGGGAAGTTGCATAAAACTGTGTTTTTAATGGAAATGAACCACAGCTCTATCGAGCTGAAGTGCTTTGTGTGTGGCCTCCTGAAGGAGGGATGGAACATCTGAAATGTTTGGGCCTTTTTCAATACATGAAAATAGGTTTGTTGGCTTTTCACTAAACAGAGCTGGTGCTGGGCAGGGTGGCAGGGGCCACGTTGGTGGTGGCAGGGGCCATGCTGGTGCTGGCAGGTGAGAGGTGCCCACTGCTGCTCCCCACGGTGATCACGTCTTCCCAGGCCTGCCAGGGCCCCAGCCCAGGCGGAGCTGTCATCCCACGGAGCCAGCAGCGGATTCAGCAGAGGATCAGAGAACAGGATCAACATTTAAAAAAATACAGTAGTTGCAGCAGCCTGGGCACCTGTGGGTTGGGAGTTGTAGTTTGTGCAGGGAGAGCTCTGCTTCCTAGGAAAAAGGAGTCAGTCAACTCAGCTTTGGTTTTGAAGTGCTTGGGTAGTGCTTTAAACAAGCCTTTCCAGCCTTGTTTTTGCTTGCCTGAAGATTAGGCTCCCCAGGCAGGATTTAGGCACTTACGCATGAACGAAAGAACTGCTGTGGTTACCTCCCTGGACCTCCCATGTAGCTGCTACTATATATATACATATACATATATATAAGCGTGGTGGTGAGCTTACGCACTATGCTTGTAGCTCAGCAGTTTTTTTCCTTTTATATCCAAACTGAGCGGTGACTGGTTGTTAGGCAAATGCATAAAAGAAGAGGTGATTCTTTTTTCCTTTTGTTTTCAAAATCATTTATTCTCAGGAAATACAATTCGAGAAAATTTTACAAGGGACAAATCTTTCTAAAATTAAATTAGTCAAACTAGCCCAGCGTAAGGTCGTAGTAGTTTAATTTCACTGATGATTTTTAGTAAGAAATTAATCCCAGAGCTCAGCCTTGACCTCTGCTGCTTCCTTGTCTTTCCTTCCATGGCTAGTTACAGTGCACAGGCCATTGCTGATCTGCAGCAATGTGTTGATACCCCTGTATATTTGAAAACCCGTTTCTTTTTTCAGAGAATGCAGGTCAGGCTACGCTGAATGGAGGCATCTGAGATGCCTCTTCTGAAAATGATCATCACCTTTTGCATGTGTGACTTCAAGAAAGCTTTATGGTTATTACACTGTGCACAGGATACTCTCCATTCTGCCTCCCAGTAGAGTTAGAAAACAAACAAACATTTTATTTCTCCCCAGGTCTTTCCCAAAGAGAAGTAGGCATGCCATAAATAAGCCCATAGAGCTTGCCAGAAAGGTCTGTGGTTCTCTCTACAGTTAATAAAACATGGAAAGAATAGTTTAAATACCAGAAAATGCTGTTGTAAATACCAGAAATGCTGTTGTCAGTGAGAAAGACTGAACTGCTTGTACATGGCAGAGAGTAAAGTTCTTCTGCTGGCAAATTGGTAAGGCCAGGGTGCTGGCAGGGGCCTTTAGTTGCCAGCTTTTATTGGTGATTTTCAAATATTGAAATTTGCCTCCATGGGGAGAAAAGAAAACTGGAGCTGATTCTCTTAAATAATTATTTGTGAACCTTAAGCATTATAAGGATATTCATAAAACATTTTTCTAATATTCCTTCATGCTAAAATATATTTACAACTTTGATTTAGGGATGTTTGTTTTGTAGCAATGAACTGTTGTTTGGCTGTATTTCATTCTTAAATTGTTTTTCAGAGGCATATGCTGAGAACATTCAGCAAAACCTACACCAGAATGAGGTTTCTAATAGGCTTTCTTGGAACTTAGAGCAAATCCATTGAAATTTAAGTAGTAATTTAAGTAATAATAAGGCTTTTAGGTGCCTTATTGCAGTGAAAAGTACTTTTTTATTTAAAAAACCTCACATCTCCTAACCTAACCAAAGTAAAATGATCCATATTTTTGAAAACCAGTTTACATCTGAAAGTTTTCACAAATTTTCCTGAATATGATGCTGTTGCTTGGTGCACTGAGACAGATGGCCTTGCAGATATGATCAAGGCAGTCCAGTTCTTGGCATTTCTCTCTCTTGCTTAGTCAGTGATAGGAAAAAACAAGTCCTGGTAGCATTTTTGTAAGCTTGGTCCTTCTGGAAGGTTGACTGAAAAAGGGTGTTTGTTTCTGTTGAAACAACCCACAGGAGCACTTACATTTTAGGAATCCCACCAATACTGCAATACCGAGAAGACACCCAGGTGCTGCTGGGCTTTTAAGCGCTGAGAACTGTGCTCAGTTGGATGAATGTAGCAGATCTCTGCTGAGGGCACAGTTGTTTCTTAGCAAGCTGCGGACCACGGATGTCTTGAAAGAGCCATTATGTTTTGCTGAATAACTGTGGCGGGAGGTTTGCACACTTTGGTGCTTCTGAAAGCTGAATGTCCTGGGAGCTCCCTGCACATCGCCTTGTTTGGCCTTAATCCCCTACTCTGTCACCTCCCTGTCTCCCTCTGGTGCCACCCCCTCTGGCCACCCGGAGCCTTTCATGGCTCTGCTCCAGGGGCTTCTTGCTTCCTATTTCTCTTCCCGTGTCTCGGGGTATGCACGTAAGTCATTCTCCCTCTTAATAATAATACAATCCTCCTACAAACGTGAATCCCTGGAGCAGACAAGCAGTAGGAAACGAGAAACCTCACCTGGAATGGCTGAATTCCCCCTCATGTCCCACCACCTGAAAACGTGAGAGCTTTCTTTTTGTAGATAAACTCACTTGGTTATTGGGGGGCAGGAGGGCACAACAGCAAAAAAAAAAAAAATCTAATCCTGAAGCTTTAAAAAAGTTGTTGACTCTCTGTTTCCACCCTCTTTTGGCAACAGTTTCAAAATATCCGTGGGCTTGGGTGCAGGGGAGTGGCTCTCAGAAGAGGAGAAAAATACATCTGTGCTGGTAGTTGTTAAGAAAAAGAGCTCTGCTGAACTCTTGCTCTTAATGCTGCCCCATTAATAGAGGAGTGTATCAGGGCCTGTAGCGTATTTTGTGGTACATTCAGGGGCTCCGGGTCAGAGTGCTGCTGCTAGATGTCGTTCTTGGTGCTGCTAATGGTAGGGAGCCATGAAGTGGGAGCCTTACATTGTGAATATTATCAGGAAAAAATGTTTTTAATGAAATTTTTGATTAAAAGACAACTACAATGATAAATTAATTTGGCAATAATCTTTTCAAGCATCCTCTGAGCAAATCATCTACAAGCAATTTTCTGGTCTTGGTGGTTTTCATTACAGCCTACCAAGACTGCCCAAGAAAGGTGTTGTTCTGTTTCACTAACACACATGATCTCTGGTTCTGGTGTTGCTTTCATTTGTCACATTAATAAAATATCCGAAAAGAACCTGTCACAAATAAAAAGCGCTTGCTCTAAATCAAAGAAACATTGCTTTGGTTTCTCAGCTTTCTGCTTTCTTGGAAGTCCTCTGCTTTTCTTCCTGCAGCAAAGTGGTCTGTAGATGTCATCTGTAAATTTTAAGTGCAACAGGTTCTTAAATATGTTAATAGCATTTGTCTTCTACTTTTGTGTTCTTCAGGCTGTGAAATTTGAGCCATATCATGACAGCGCGTTAGCCAGGTTTCTGCTGAAACGGGGTTTGAGAGTAAGTACTTCAAAATACAGCCAGGTTATGTTAAAGCAACTGGCATCATGAAGACTCTTTCTCAAGAAATTGCCATGCGTGCTAATTCTAGCATTTTTTCTACCCCTCTAGAACAAAAGAATTGGCCACTTCTTATTTTGGTTTCTAAGAAGTGAGATTGCCCAGTCTATGCACTACCAGCAGAGGTTTGCTGTGATCCTCGAGGCCTATCTGCGGGGCTGTGGGAAGGCAATGCTGCAGGACTTCATGAAGCAGGTTCAAGTCATTGAATTGCTGCATAAAGTCACAATGGAGATAAAATCAGTTTCTGCAGAAAAGTATGATGTCACGTCTCAAGGTATTTGCTCACTGGCATTTCTCTGTTTCTCTATTGCTTTTTTTTCTGTGTGTGTGAAAACCAAGGCAGAAAATTACTATTTATTTAGAAATTCATACATAATTCACTGTAAAAGAGCATCTTATTCTTATACTCTTATAAATTGACAGTGTAGATTGATAGGGGTTAAATCAATAATACATTTCTTTGCCCCTTTCTCCCCAAAGCAGAGAAGTATATCAATATTATAGACACCTTATACCAAACTCTGCTTTGGCTGATCCTGAACTTCTACACTGAACAACTGGGAAGTGTTCAGTTAAGATCTTGTACGTAACCCTTAGCACTGAAAAATCTTAGCACGGAAAAAAAGAAACAACCCAGAACACGAATGTTAACAGGAAATAAAGAGAAAAAGAAACATTTGACAAGAAACATAGCCTTACTCTAAACAGTCCCAAAATCTCTCTTGGCAGTAAGACTGAGGAGGAGTCCAGTACAGTTTTTGCTAGCCCACAAAAGTGGCTTTGGGTGGGCAGTGATGCACAGAGCATGCTCTTGGTGCTTTGCAGTGTGAGGAGCAGCAGTCCCGGGAGACACAGACGTGGTGGTGTTATTTCCAGTCTTTGCAAGCACAGGTTTGGAGGCCACATTAGGATTATGCAATGATTATTTACCTCTGTGCTTTTCTACTTCTTTCCTTAAGAACTTGTTCATCATCATTCCTATTTGTTGCTTGGAGTTAGGAGGAAGAAGGAAAAGGCATATGACACCATCTGAGTTCCAAAAGCTACTTGGAGAGAGAACAGCTCTTCTTATCAGTTCAAGCTGATATGGTCTAGCCCATGAGGTCCT